ATGAACAAAATTCCATTAATTAGTATTTAAATAAGCATCCAAATTTACAAGGGAAGATGTGCATTTTTTTCTGACCAGCTCATCACTTTTGATGTTCCTCTTTTCCACTGACTGAATTCATTTAAATTGCTTTTCAGCAAGAAAACTCCAAGATAAAAAGAAATTAATAAGCACAAGTCTTATCTACAGGTATACAAATCTGTAAGTAGTTTTAACTTATAGCTGGATTTCAAAGCAGAAATTGTGTCATTATCTCTTTTGTGTGAGCATTTTTTATTAGTTCTCCCCCAAAAACACAACAGGAAAATAATATTTTCAGCATTCCCTTGGTATTAACTGGAGTTAGGTTTCATACAAAGGGCAAATGCAACTACATGACCTGGCTATGTTAAACTGAAGACATACAAATACAAAAATACAGAGCCTTTTTTGTTGACAGCCTTGAGATGTGACTTTCTATGAGTTATTTCCCTTAAATCACAGAGACAGTGTAACTTAATGTGGCCAGATATGTCAGCGTGTGTTTTTTGCACTGACCACAATATACATTGACTCCACCTGCTGGCTCTTTGAAACATTACAGTTTTCTGTGATGCACAGTCCTGCTTTGTTAAATGAATAGGAGCGACTAGTAGGACAGTCCCCACACTGCTTAAGAAATGGAAAGAAGCTTAGCTGTTTCTTGACTCTTGGGGTGATATGTGGTGGCTGTAACCTTGAATTACATTAATTTAACAATGCAGTGTTTAACAAAAAATATTTTTTTGTTAATTTAGGTAGAGGGCTGCTTCTATACACTATTCAAGGAACCAATGAGTTTAATTGTGAGTTTGAACTTAAAGTATACACATGAGACTGGGATTCATTCATGTATGAGGTGACAACAGCAAAATAAAAAAACAAAATTGATTGGAGTTTATCCCAATTTTAGGCCAGGTGCTTGGCAGAACTGCTCTTCTTTTTCAGAAGTAGACAAAGACTTGGTCTTTGTGTGCGATTTAGCTTTTTGTCTTCGATCTCCCGTGTTTCTTATTGCAAGTCTGCGCAGCTGTTCTGATGAGCTGGAACAGGATTAATTATCATTCTGGCGCTCTCAATTCTCACAAGCTTTATGTATGAGAGAGGAAAGAGAGTAATCCTGGGATTCTGTAACACGGTATGTGATATTTCCCAGCCAGATGGGTTGACCGGGGCTCTTTCGAAATGAGTAGTACTCACGCACAGTGGTGGCGAAGTCCACAGCAGCCTGCAGAACCAGGGCGGTGATTCCACTGACAGCTCAGAGTGGATGCAGAGCTCTGTGCTGCAACTCCTCGTGATCGGAGGAGTCTTGCGCAACTTGCTCTGCTCACAAAGAGAACAGATGGCACGGAGTGTGGCACCCTCACACCCACCACGCCTGGGTGGTTTCCAACCAGCGACCTTTTAAAAAGTTCTCCTCCCTGCTTCTCATCACTCTCTCTCAATAGGTAAACAGAGCCAGAGTCCCTGCATTCTCCTCCTGTCATGAAATACTGATGCCTTTCTGACAACTGAGAATTCAGATGATGCTTCAAATCTAGGCAGTTTCCAGGGCAGAAATATTGGTTTGCATAAATTCCACACCTTCTTATACTCACTTTGCTATTTAGTTTATGGGCTTTGAATATATATTTATAAGATGAGCATCAAAATAAACTTAGTACTCAGTGATTTTGGATATTGATTAAATATTTTGACTTAAGTTTGACTGATCAAAAATTGGTCGTTCCTGGCCCTGACACCATTCCCCTTAGCACTACAGTACCTCCCCTCATCAGGTGCTTGCTCACAGGTGACGAGGTGAGATCACCTGTTGAAAGTCCAGCTTGGTGGCAAATCAGGAAAGGAAGATGCTGGAAGGAGCCCGAATGGCTCATTTGTCAAGGGATCGATGCCTTTGTGTCATCCCTATGTCAGAGGCTGGACTTAGTTGGCTTACTGTTGCTCTCCATCTGGTGGTCTAACCTGGTAAGGCTACACAGTCTGTCAGTGACAGGCCCAGATCTGAGACAGAACAAGAAATGTGAATAATGGCAACCAGACTAGACAACGCTGCACTGATCGGGTCCTGGGATTTAAATTCCTGCCCTCCCTGTGGGATCATCTTTACATGACACCTTTCCAGCAGGACATCACATGTTCCCCGGGGGTTTGCATTGTTTCTGCACCCCAGTTGTCTCAGCAGGCGGGGGCAGCGTGCTCTTCAGCAGCATGCTCTAGTGTTTTAGCCTAACGGAAAACACTAGAGCATGCTGGAAAGGTTAGGTTAGGTTGGAAAGCCTAACGTGTCCCATATGGCTCATGTCAGAACAGCAGAGGTGGATCTGGCTGCGTTCCTGGTGTTAAGAGTTAAACAAACTACCAAGCACTGTTTATACAGATTCTGGAAACAATTGCCTAATGATTCATCAGGGTTGCTGCCTTGTCTCAGATTGCTTTTAAGAAGCATGAAGTGTGACCCCAGCTGACTGGAAAAATCTGCTTGCAGATCAGCCTCTTCTGCCCCCAGGCAGTGTTGTGTTAACCTTTTGCGTGAGTTGGTCTGTCTCATTGCCTTGTGTAAATACCAGTGGATCACACGTGTTTGTCTTTTCTGACCTCTGTGGTTTATCTAAGGGGGCTCGAGGTGGGAATTTATATGTATATCTTGATCGCCATCATTTACCCAGAATTTATTTAAGGGTTTTATTCAATTATTCAGCAGTTATGCAAACAATTTGGAGTGACAAATGATCGGGACGGAAAATGGGAGTTACTGTATGTGCAATTTAACCTATGACAAATATCGTTGTTTGGTCCAGCAGTCAATCACATCAAAGGTTTAGCTTAATAAATGACTCTTATTAGCCTACAGTGCATTAAATAGAACAATAGAAATGTTTTTTCAAGCAGTGTGCAATTCAAAATGCCCTGCCTAATAAGCAATACATAAGATTTACCCAGCCTAGCACACATGTTGAAGAGCAAACAGTTTTTGTTTTTTGTCAGAGGAAAGTTATCCCTATTCCAGCATGCCGATCGATACCGTGAGCCTCTTACCTTTTTAGTAACCCCTTGCAAGGAGGCATTGAGGTCTCAATTTAATACTGTTTGCATTTACGTTCTGTGGGAGTTTCAGAGTGTGCAATTTGAAGACAGCTCCGAATAAAAACCGTTTTCCGTGGTGGGCCGTTTCACACAGAAGGGAGCCCTGTGTCAAAAGTTCACAAGGCGTTTTTTGAAAAACATTACCCCAGTGTCAGATAACATCTGGGTTTTATCCTTTCTCTGGAATCTTCCTATTTTTTGGTGGTTTTCCTCTCCATCAAGATTGATAGCTGTGTTGATTCTGGAGTTTTAGTTGATAAAAAGAGATCTATTAATAATATCTTATCTAAATGTCCTAGGTCCTTGCTGCAGGGTGGAAATGAGATTCAATCCAAGTAGAGCTCTCACTCTGAAAGAAATGGTGGAACAAGACTCATGTAATCAGAATATTGCCTAAATATTTTCACTTAGTATGTTCTAATGGCATTCACTGTTTGAATGAGAGCACTGCCATTTACATGTACTGCAGGCCTTCTGAAATACCTTTTAAAATGAAGATTTTAAAATATTAATTTTATTGTTACCTTGAAAGGTGACCTTTCTCCAGAGCTTATCTGGGATCTCTGTGTTGTCAAGACAAGGTGCTGTGTCTTACTCACTGCTGCAAAGAATATGACATTTTACCTGGAGTCCTTGTACTCTGAGCTACACAGTACTTTGAGGCATTGTTTAAAATTCAATTGCTGTGAACTAAATGCCGTGCGATATATAATTATAAACCTGTTCCAACAAAAGCAGAAAGAAAATGAAAGGAAGAGAGAGGCAGGGAGAGAGCTTGAATCCAAAGAAAGCAAACGCAAATCCTTGCAAAAGTGAAACATCATTTGAATGTTTGAGGAAAGCACTGAGAAAGAGAGATTTATCATGCCGTCTTGTGGCTGAAGGCCTTAGCACTGTGTTTACAAGGCCTTTTCCTTTAACACAACGCTTTGGTACACAGACCTTGAAGGATCTGGGTCACTGTGCCAGTGGAGTAGCAGTCTCTGAGCTGTGACAGTCACATTCAGAATCCACAGACGAGGAAACTACGAATGCCTTCCTTTTTCCAGTTGCTAATCCAGCACCTGGCTACCTGCCTAGCAGTATTATCCTAGGGCTTGTTAGTTCAATGGTATCCACGGTGCTTTTCTCCATTTGAAATGGTCTTGTGCACACTGCCATGGATTCTGGAGTGTGTACACATGCACACGAGAACAACAACATGCAACACTGTGTTATAAGTTACTGAAGCAGATTGTTATTATGGAAGAAATGCTGTTGCTATGCATGGAATGTAAATTGTTTTTACACCGATGCATTTAATATTCACAAGAAAAGTAATGTTGCTGCACTCTTGTAGCCCCGTTATTTATATTCCTGAACTGTGGGATGAACGTAACCTGTTCCATCTGTGCTACACATATATCAGATGCCCAAATCGAAATTTCCTGGGGGGTGTTTTGGGTAATTAGAATGAATTGCTTTATCGGTTGATCGAGACTATCTCGTTAAGAACACAAATGCCTTTGGAAGCCCACAAACAGAAGACTTTTTTGATTTCATCTTGCAGTTAGTTTTCATTAACCACCTAATTTATTTCTTTTAGTGCTTGGCTGCTGTTCTGCTCTCTTGTGGCAGTACTTACAATTAGGCCTTTTTGGAGAGTCATGTTGTTTTCTTTAAATCTTTGATTCTCTTGCCTTTTGACACCACAGAATACCTCTGGTTTTTCAATTCATCTGGATTTTTCTTTCACTTCTGCCCAGTTTGCAGCATGATGCAGTACTGCTGTAAACTTTAACGGAGTTCTTTTTTAAAGGTGAAATTGCAGAGCAAAGATAAAATCATTGTACTTGGAGGTCTTAACGAGACCGCGACCTTATGCTGTACCTTTTCTGATGCCTTTCTTACAGAATGCAGGAATCCTGTTCAAAATCCGAGTGGTAGGGGGGTCCGCAGCCTACAGCTACCTGTCTCCTCAGGACAGTCGTCCCCTGTGTCACCCGGCAGTGGACAGGTAGGAGAGGCCCTCTGTCCATCTGATGAAAGGAGAAAAGCAAAGTGCTGTTGGCTAAAATTACGTTGAGTTTTGGATTTGTCTGAAAATGTGGTTGGGATGTCACAGATATGTCCTACCAGCAACCCAAGAAAAATGTGCATCAGGAACTTTGCCGAGTAAAAATGGCATTCCCCAAATTTTGCCTCCAAATATCTAAGAGGAGAACTGTTTGTTTCAATTGAAGGTCGACTGTATCATTCCCTTGTCTGTCTTGAAACGAATGTGCTGACGACATAATAATGAAATAATATTAATGATGATTAATAATAATGTAATTAAATTCCGTCAATGGCCAAGAACTGATCAGATCCTGAGCTTAGGAAAATCCGAGATTTAATCAGCCTGTGGTTTCAGGGAAGGGCTACTGCAGACTTTGAAATAGTTTCATTTTAATTTTGTGATATCAAAAGTATTGAAAGGGGATTTAAATGAAAATCTTTTGGAAGTGCCTGTAACCCTAACAGGTGTCCTTAATCGCTTTAATTGAATTAATTGAACTGAGATACAGAATACCTCCCTGTTGAGCAGATATAATCTGGGAAAATGTTCTTTTTTCACCATATTATTATATTTGTTCAATATGAAATAATCATGAATGCGCATTTCTGATATTTTTAGTATAGTGTGCAGTCTTGCCCCTGGCATTCGAGGCTTTTCTCCAGGTGAAGTAAATTAAACACCATTTTAGTTGCTGACATTAAAACCTATTGATATTCCATCAATAATATTTTCCTTGGCATCTAATACCCACTGAAGTGCATTATTGCTTTTTGATTTTATTTTTTTAAAAAGCTTTCATTATCTGTACTGAGTGTCGTGGGGAGAGATCCTGCTGCTTGAGAACAGTAAGATTAAAATGCAGACAACAGACAAAATGCTTTGAAATACGTTTGAAACATCCATTAGTATGGGACATTTAATAAGGCTTCTTCTGCAGTACCGTTCGCCGAACGCCACTGTGGGGGTCCATTTAAAGATGCTGCACTCCAATGTCTTATCTCAGAGCTACAGGGCATTGTTTGGCGATAAGAAACAATTAGAAACTGCTCCAGAAGATTATCATCATTACCATACCGTTAATGGACCGCCTTTCTTTTATTGCTGTTTAAACTGAACTGCATGGATGGATTATTGCGGAAGACGCGTACGTTTTTTTTTAATTCCTGGGAAAAAAAAACAACTTCTGCAGAATGGAACACAGCTGTTTGTAGGTTAGCGCTAGCGCTGGCGCTGGTTTTGCCACCATTTATTTCACTAATGTGATCACAGATTTTAATTATTTTGCATCATGGCATCATAATTCAGATCTATAATTTCTTTTGTATCAAAATGTTATCATCCATTATGTTCAGAGATGTCAGAATTGACTCAGACATTTCAGAAAGGGCCATATTCGTCAAGACTTACTGCAGTAGTATATGCTTATGGTTATAGGTGTACTCGTAATTACTACTTTTTCCAGTCTGACTGTTATTCCAAACTCCACTGAGCTCGCTCGGCTCAGGGTAGCTTGAATTCCTCAGGCCAGAAGACAAGCTAATATGCTCTTCCATTTCTTGGCCAGCGAATGAGGGGCAAAATGTTTTTTTCCTCGTAAGTGTAATCTTCCACCTCCCCTGTTCCAGCAGTGGGCTGTCTGAGGTTGCTTGAAGGATCCGATCCCTTATGATGGCGGTGTCGGTACTCTCACTGTCCGGCACCCCACCTCTCGCATGTCTCCCAGCTGCCTCTGAGCTTTGCCTTGCAAATGCCTTCCAAATGCCCCACAGAAACATGAGGCTCTTTTAGTTTAATTGCCATACCAATTCTGATACAGTCTGCATTTGAAAAGCATAACAATAAAAGCAATTCGTATGAACTATGAAAAGTGAGAAGACTCGGTTTCCTCCATTTGTAAAACTTGTGTGCTTTCAAACGATGCAACAATATCTAGGTTAGGTTCAATAAGTTCAATTTATAGTAGTATCAACAGAAAAGGCTTCCCCTGTGTACTTTCTTTTTTTAAAATCTCTTCACTCCATAGCCTTCACTGTGTCAGTCAGCGTTTAAAGACTTTGACAGGACCAAATGCTGGTTTTGTAGAGTGTGAATACAGATCTCAAGTAAGTATGAGCATCTTTTTAAAGGCACAGCAGTAATGTTTGGCTCTGATCACCAGCTGGCGGGCCACCTGGCTAAATTGCTAATGTGCCATTTACATAGGCAGTCAACAAGATCCTTGGTAATACAAGCTGTGTGTGTGTTTTCTCCCCTTGCTCATGCCTCTAACTTGCTTCTCAACTCTGTAGTGCTTGCCTGAGTCTGCCAGCCCCTTCTTCTTTTGGGAAATGGAAACAGACGTGACAGAAATACATACACAGCTTTACAAAGCACCTGTGAGCTCATGTCTGGAAGACTTGAAGGATTCCCATCATTAAAGGCTGCATGACAATTAGGATTAGGTGCACAGGCACACACCTCAAACATTAAAACACTGGACTGCCAGAAATGCAATATACCTTTTTGTGACTGGCTGTTTTATCCAACTTATGTTCTGGAGAAATACGAGGCCGAATTCAAAGACGTTGCATCAAATACATGTACCTGCAATATCTTAGCGGTATGATCAGCATAATAAAGTTTTCAAAAAATGAATAATTTATAGATACCAAGAGATTGGAACTAGGCTATGTCATTATCCAGCAGTGTCTGGGATCTGCAAAGTGGTGGCAGGCAATTTTCCAAAGGCTGCTGAGACTGGGAGGGGGTGACTCAAGAATGCTATCCTTGGCATGGCATGGATCAGTGAATCTGGGAACTTCTGCACAGTTTCTGTGGTCCATGGTAGCTCTGCTGCAAGGCATTGTGGGAGTCGTAGTGTATAAAATGTCAAATGGCTCAGTGAAGTGTGTGTTTCATTTATATAGCGCTTTCCTGGACACTCCACTCAAAGTGCTTTACAGGTAATGGGGACTCCCATCCACCACCACCAATAAGCAGCATCCACCTGGAAGATGCGACGGCAGCCATAGTGCGCCAGAACGCTCACCACACATCAGCTATCAGTGGGGAGGAGAGCAGTTCAGTGTCCAGTCTTCATGCTACGAGGGTCATAGTGTTGACCTGAGGAAATAAAAAAAGAAAAATAGGCAAACTGGCAAATCCAAATATACAATAGCCCATTGCTTCAGGTCATTTTTTTACTGAAACTCTTTTATCATAATTCCATTCTAAACCGTCTTTTTAAAAAGTTTTAATGGTATTTTTGGCACTATTGACCTTCCATGGAGATCAGTGCCATAACGGATTAAATCCACAAGTAAATCAAAGTCAAGAAAAACAAAAGCACAAATGATTTTATAAATCAATGAAGAAAACTTTGAAGGGAAAGAAAGCACTTTGTAAATTAAAGCAGAATGGGATCCACTTAAAGAAAAGGAATCTAATTAATTACAAGTGGAAGTAAAAGGGATATTAGAAAGGCCAAGAGAAAGATGAATGGATGAGTATTGATGTGAATATAATGCTAGCGATGGAGACTAAAATAATAAAAGTTTTTGTCAGTATTACAACAGCAGAAGACTAGTGAAAAGAATGAACAGTCTCAGAGATAAAAATGGGAAACATTTAGACAAATGGGAAATAGCTGATGAATTAAATGTTTCTCCCAGGTGTTTACCAAAGAAAAAAATGGCAACATCCCTGAGACTGAAGAAGACTAAAGTTCCTACTAAATAGTATCAGCATCGTATCTCCACTTGTACCTAAGGAAAAGAGGTGTCACTTAAAGGTTATGAACAAAACCCTTCTAACAGTCATAAAAGAGTGAAAGAAACAACCTCGTTAATTATAGACCACTGCATCTTACAACTATCGTAAGGAAACGGGAGCTATAATTGAAACTAAATCAGAGACAGCATACAACACAGTGCATTTACATTCTCTGAATATGCTTCTGGGAAAATTGATGTGTGTGTGTGTGTCTGTGTGTGCCCTGTGATGGACTGGTGTCCCATCCAGGGTGTGCCCAGCCTCATTCTTGTTGCTTGCCAGGATAGTCTCTGGGTCCCCCATGACTCTGAATTAAGCTGTCAGAAAAAAGATGGATCTGCATGTTTTCTGTGCTGTCTCCAAGCGGTGTAGTCTCTAGGTTGGGGAACTGTAGATATATGACTGGCACATCAGTAGCCACACATGCACAAAATAACGTTTCTCAGGGAGGAGTTTAGCAGAGGTCAAAATGGAATTGACTCATCAAATGATTCTCCTCATCAGTAGGGATCCCTTTCAGACTCCTTGAGAAAGGGTGCCTACACATAAATTCAGGTTGAAGGGGGCTGCCTGAGCTTTCACTGGTGACTACATGCCCAGCAACCTTAGAATAATGAATTATATCATTTCAAAAACATTTGTAAGGGCTTTAAACAATTAGCTTGTAGGTGTTGATTTATTGAAGCCTACCGTTAAAGCAAAAAAAATCTTTTAAGGGCATGGCAACGTGCAGGACTGTCTGCCTTATCAGGAGAATTGACTGCTGTGCAATGTCTGAGAGGGTGAAAATAAATTAATCTCTTTTTTTTTTTGCCGGCATTGCTTCTGATGCTGGAAAATAATCGCTGGTGCATAAATGATAAAGCCAATTAATTCCTTTCACGTTACAGAATTATTCCAAGCTGCCTTCAAATCCTTATGGAAACACAAGCGATTCAGTAAAGAAGCTGTGTGTCGGAATTAATCCGACATGAGTTTTGCAGGAGTGCCATTTTTTTAGCCTTTCGTTCTACAGTAAGTTCTTAAATCGAGTGGCTTTTTGGTTTTTTTTTGGGGGGGGGGGGGTTGTACACAGATAATAGCTGTGGGGAGGGTGTGAACCCCTGAAACATTTTTGTGGAATCCTTTCTGTTCTTTTGAGAAAAGAACTTGTGGATCTGCTGTTGTTCTTGCCTTGTGCATTTAAAGAAAATATCCACCAAAGAAAT